TCCTCTCCAATTGGTATCGACAGCCTCCAAAACCTGCATGCATGCTTTAATCTTAATTTTTTCATGCACAAACCTCTTTCATTTTATTTTTAATTTAATGACCAAATAATATATTGGCTACAATACTTACATGCATTTAGTACAATTATCATCTAATAGTTGCATATAATTCATATGGATATGTATTTAATATAATTACCATAGGAATAAATGAAAACATAAAACTTCTAAAGTGTTTTTTTGACCCAAAAACCACTCATAAACAAGCTCTTACGCAACTAATGTAAACATTTCAACATGCACCTGAAGTCTTGTGTTTGTTTTACCGCTTCCACATTTGCGTTTGTTAACAACTAAGCAAAAGAATATTATATACTTATTACACCAACAATCATATATAATGTTATGTGATCAACTAACATAATCTGAACATCTAATTACTACTTACTCTAATATTCATTCATCCATTTTTATTTCTTGCACACCCAATCTTATGTCTCCACAGTTGTAAACTAAAACCAAAAACAAAATCACTATTAACATGAAATGAAATGAAGAAAAAGAAAGTGGGGGGAAGATTGAAAGTTGAAACCTGTCAATGAGCTCCCAATTGAGAAAGGCTTCTTTGGGGCCCTCAGCCTCTGACCTAGCCAAAACCGTCCCACCAAAAAACGGTGCCAAAAGTACGTACCCTCTCACCCGAACCGGCCCCAATTCAACCGAACCGGCCCCGAGCTGAACCGCCAAGTTATGAGCAATATTCCCACCAGCCGAGTCACCCGAAACAAACACGTTCCCAAAATCCGCCACCTCAGTCAGCCACGTGTCCGGATCCTCAGCCTCGGCTTGGACTTGGAGCCATTTCATAGCCGCGAAGCCGTCGTCAATAGCAGCCGGGAGGCGGTGTTCTGGCGCGAGGCGATAGTCAGGTGCAACGACGACGCATTGGAGCTGGGAGGCGAGCTGAAAACAGTAGTTCTGGCAGTTGGGCCAAGCGCGCGAGCCGATGCAGAAGCCGCCGCCGTGGATGTAATAGAAGATGGGGAGCTTTTTGGACAACGACGAGGGGGAGTGTGTAGTTGCAGCAGGCTTGTAGAGGCGGAGTTGGAGTTGATTGGTTGGGTCGAAAACGACGTCTTTCCAGTCAACGGAGCCGTCGTCGTGGACTGGGACGTCGAAGCTTGGTTTGGGAGAGCGGACGATGGAGCCGTCGCTGTAGACGCGGAGAACGCCGCGGCATTCTTCGTAGGGCAAGGTTGGAGAGATGGCGGTGTTTGATGACATGTTTGGAGGGATTGTGATGAATAAATGGGAGAATTGTGAGAAGGGAAAGGAAGTGAAGTGGGAAAGAAATAGGGAGGTGAGTAATGGAGTTGGTGGTTTTGCCTGTCGTTTTTGGTGTTTTCATATGGTTGAAAAAATGGAGAAGTGGGGTCCAATGGTGATTAGGCAAAGCAAGTTTTAGTGACTTGTCTTATGTTTTTGTGTGGACATGGTGGTTGTTATAGGCGGAAATGGTCCTCTCCCGATTTTTTTGTGGGGATCAGAAGATCAATCAATCATATTCGTTTATTGTATATCGTGCGATCAGTTTTCGTTAGATACTATTTATATTCAATTTAAAATTTTACATTTAAAATAATTTCTGACCACACAATATACGATGAACGGACGTGATTGATTTATCCCCGAATCCCCATAAAGAGGATCCGGTGAGGATCCTTTTCCGTTATATGCATATGTAAAATGAGAAATATTTTAATGTGTCGATAACACGCTCGTTACATCAAATGTAATAATATAATTAGTTAGAATTCTCTTATACTAGTTTTCAGTTAATTGTATTTTTACATTTGATATATCAAGCTATGTTTCCAACATATTAAAAAATCTCTCGCATGAATGGGTTTTAATAAAGAGAACCATTTAGGATTGCCAAGGATCGAAATTTAATTATAATAATATGGGATTGAGATTTCCTATCCCTAAAAACATTCCAAATTCTAAAAAGGGAATTTGGCCATAAATCAATAAAAAGTTTACTAATTACACATATATCAATGCATAAGTTTATTTATTTATTTAATCAATGGGCTAATTGAAATGACGTGTTTACCCTTTAAAAGCCATCAGCCAATTAAATCAACCCATTCCATTTAGACGCACGAAGAGAACCGTCACGTTCAACAACTTGGAAGTATCGCAACAGAGCCTTAATGGCGATGGATTTTTTTTTTCTACGATTTTTTACTCCGAGTTCAATCATGATGCTTGGTTGATTCTTACGACTCCAAATCTTCTAAGATTTTCAGATTTCTGTGGTGTTTGGGGATCAATCGTATTTGGTGTTTTATAAATTGAGTAGTGTGTTTGTTTACTTGCATTCTTATGTTTTATGCATTCAATTATTTCTACGTTTTTTCTCTTTGTTTACTTGCTTCAAATTGATGTAATTTTGTATTAAATTTTGAACTTGAATGTTTCAATTGCTTTGCCTATGGTTGTGGATTTGATTTGATAATTTTGTTGTTTTGATATTTTATCGTCCTTGAAATTTCAATTAATTACAGCTTTGGGCGTTGGTGATATAATTTCAATTTTGTAGTAACTTTATTGTAGTGTCTGTTTATGTTTTGTCTTAGTGATTTAAGTCCCTTTTTGTTTTGTTTAGGATAATGGAGCTTTAAATGATAGCAAAGTGTACATACAAAATGGAAATTGTGAGATTTCTAGTTCCACGTTGTTCTTCATTCGTTGATATTTGCAAAACAATTCATTTGAAGTTTAAGGAGTTGTGCACGAGGAGTTTCATACTTAAGTATTCGCAGCCTGATTGTGCACTACAAAATGAGAATGGCTTTGATATGATGTAGGGGCTTTCATGGGGCACTTGGTGCGGATAATGGCTCCCATGTGGTGAGTCAACATGCTATCGAATTTGGCGTCTGCTCGCTGATATCGTGGGTCGTAAATGACCACGATATTGACTTACATTATGCTAGTGGTCCAGTGTGAGGACAAGTCTCAATAAATTCCTCAGACATTCATCTTCTTCACACCCCCAGCTAGGAGTAGTAAAATGAGAATTAGTGGAACTTCATGATGCTTGAGAGTAGTAAAATGAGACAAGTGCTGATCCATTATGAACATTGTGATGAGGCGTAAACTTGTTTATGTTTAGATTTAGAATTGACTATAATACTTACATGTATATAGTACAATCATCATCTTACAATTGCATATAATTCTAGTGAATATAGGTATTGCATACAATCATCACATGAATACATGAAAACGTGGAACATCTAAAGTGTTTTTTTTAACCCAAAAACCACTCATAAACAAGCTCTCACACAACTAATGTAAACATTTCAACATGCACGAAGTCTTGTGTTTGTTTTACCGCTTCCACATTTGCGTTTGTTAACAAATTAAAAAGCAAAGCAAAATAATATTATATCCTTATCACATCAACAATCATTTATAATAGGTTGTTTTGTGAAAACATCAAAGTTCAGTGATCAACTAAAATAATCTGAAAATCTAACCACTACTTACCTAATATACTAAGAAGAGTGTTACTCACACACCTATTTTTATTTCTCACATATTCGGTAGTATGTCTCCACAGTTGTAAACCAAAACCGAAAACAAAATCACTACTAACATGAAATGAGAAATTTTTTAGTATGCCGGAAATACTGCTCGTTGCATCAAGTGTCATTATACAATTAGTTTGAATTTTCTTTTACTAGTTTTCAATTAATTATATTATTACACTTGGTATACCAAACCGGGTTCCCAACACATTGAAAAATCTTTGTGTAAATGGGTTTAGGTGAAGAGAATCATTTAGGATTGCCAATGGATCGAAATTTAATTATATTAACGTAGGATTGAGATTTCCTATCCCATGAACATTCCAAATTCTATAAGGGAGTTTGGCCGTAAATCACTAAAATGTTTACTAATTATCCATGTACCAATGCGTAAGTGTGGCCTCATGCCACTTAGTACTACGATTTAGTTGTATTCTTATTCACTTATAAGTGAGGGGTCTTTAATTCGATTCTTCGTATTACTGCTAAGTCATTGTGAGGCTTAGCCTGCTCCCCCAATCCTTTAGTGTAGATAATATCGTTTGTTAAAAATTAATGGGCCCATTGGAAATCACGTGTTTACCCTTAAAAATCCATCAGCCAATTAAATCAGCCCCTTCAATTTAGGCGCACCAATAGAGCCCTCGCGTTCAACAGCTTGAAGTATCGCACCAGAGCTTTAATGGCGAAGGATTTTTTTCTGTGATTTTTTACTCCGAGTTCGATCATGATGCTTGGTTGATTCTTGCGACTCAAAATACTCTAAAATTTTCAAATTTCTGTGGTGTTTGGAGATCAATCGTATTTGGCATTTTATAGATTGAGTAGCGGGTTTTTATATTTCAATTATGTTCTATGCATTCAATTATTTCTGTGTTTTTTTTTTTGGATTGATGTTTTTGTGATTTTGTAATAAATTTTGAACTTGAATGTTTCAATTTTTGGCTTTGCTTATGTTTGTGGATTTTATTTGATAATTTTATTGCTCTGATATTTAATCTTCCTTCAATTTTCAGTTAATTACAGCTTTAGGTTCAATTTAAGTTTATGTCTGCATGGTTTTGATTTTCATTATTTATCAAAACACTCTGTTAATCAACAATATTTCATAGTGAGTTCAATCAATTGAAAGGATTGATCAATAAACTTTCACAAAAATTGGTGTATTTGCAGCATGGCAGTCAAATTAAAGGTTGTGGCTGCTTAAGTAGAAAAAATCTACTATTATGCAATAAGATCAATGTATGGTTATAACTTGGTTGTATACATAATAATAACAGTACTGATAATAATAGCGTACGACAACGAGTTCAAATTATAAGAACCAATCATGAATTATATATTTAAATAACAAAATGTTACCTCATCTATTTTATCATGACCCCCCCCCCGGGGGTAAGATCAAATCCTGCCTCCGCCACTGTTTTCAATCTGTGAATTTATGGGTTATTACCATGACTGTGATGTGATTTTGTGTTGAAAAATTGAGGGTTTAGGCCCTGTTATTTCTCTGTGCATGCATAACCAGTCCGGTGACGAACTTCGGTGAAAAAATGTCGAGTTCGAAGCCAGCTTGTACGTACCTTCTCTGGGTTTTGGTTTCGTGTTGGTCTGAGGATGAAACGTGGACTATTTTGAGTCCAAATATGTGATTCTAATCCATGCATGCACCCTGTTCTTCTTTTCCAGTTTCCAGTGAGCTGGTTTGAAGGAAATCGGTCAAATCCGAGGTGGATTCGACCCTATTGCACCTAAATCCGTTTTAGGTATGTCCCTGGCCTTTTGGTAGTGTTTTCTACGAATTTGGAAGGCAATTTCATGAATTTTGGGACTGAAATCAAGCTCTGCAAGTCTTGGAAACTTTTTGTAGATTTCAGTGAGGCTCCGGCGTCGGTGATTGGCAGCAGACGACAGTCGTCGTTATGATTAATGGTGACATCAGCAAATCCGTTATCACTTAAACTCTAACCGACAACTGACGCGTGGCAACAACGATGGCAAGTGCGGCTCCTATATGGCGGCGAGTACAGCAACACGTTTACCGGTAACGGCGACCCGATAGGGGCGCGTGACATCATAGCGCCAGCTCGTGGTGACGCGTGGTTGGAGCATGGCAGTGCGTGTAGGACCCCATACTTACCCTTAGGTTTTTCGGTGTTCTGAATCACGTGGGGCCCTTCATTTGTTTAAATTTGAAGCCTAAATAGCAGTTTGGACGATTTTCCCTAAAATGTTCTTTAAAGCTTATTTAAGCTATATATATCTAATTCACAGGCTTAGTAGAGATTAAAAAGGATTCACGCAAGGAGCCTAATGATGAATGACGCTTTGCTTGCCAGTGAGTGGATCCCTTTGAAAACTAAACGTTTTTTTTTTTCCGAGTATTGTTACATGTTGATGCATATTACTATTATTGAATATTAGTCTTTGATGAGACTTTGGTATAACTAATTTAAATGATATCTTGAGACTATTAGTGATTTATTTTCACCACAAGGTTATCATACATATCGTATAACTAGCCACGACTGTATTTATTTTGCAGGTACTTATATTTTCAAAAAAGGCTAGATTCACTAGTAGACGCTAGTCATCAATCAGGTAGATGTCGTTTCACCTGCTTGCTATACATTTTATTTACTTTGATAATGTGATTGAGATTACTTTATTTAATATGACGAGTGATGTGATAAGAACTTGATTACTATTACGATAGTACTCTATGCAAGTAGTTTTCAACTATCTATGTGATTTCAAAATGGAGGTTATTATATTCGAATGATTTTGACTAGAATAAACTTGATCCACTCACACTTTGTTTTTCGACGCTTCAGGATATAGCAAGAACAAGGATAATCCAGGAAGTGGCGAGTGGGCTTGGTAGTGAGACCTTCACCTTCAGATTTTGGTGATAACTCTCTTATTGCAGTTTACTTTAGTTTGTAATAATTGCATGATCATACTTTCGATTATGCATGATATTGCACTACTTTGTGTTTACTGTTGTATGAAACTACTACCAGATATGGTATGTTGTGATAATAATGAGATTGTATCACTCAACATGTGTCCCCAAGTGTTTTTTTTTGGGGGGGTGGGGGGCGGTGGGGTGAGGGGGGAGAGGGAGGTTGATTAGGAACACTTTGTAGTTGCTTTTATTTATGAATAATGAACTGTTTGGTTCAAATTCCTTTACATCATAATTATCTTAAGATGATTTTTGTCATTAAGTTCGGCTTATGAAGTCATCTCATGATGGGGTCATATGGTCAATTTAGTGGCGGCCAACAAATTATAATCTCATAACTTGTGTTATTGGGATTAAGCATGGTCTGATTTGAATCCAATTTGTTTATAAAGGCTTGTCATTTAGATAGGCATGTTTATTAAGAAATATCATGTAATATATTTTGTAATATATTTACTTAATATGGTTTATGTCAAATCCCACCAAAAGAGGGATACGATTTTCTAGGACATTGATGTAGGGTTAATTGGTTGACCTACTAATGTATATATTGTATTGTAAAGTTATCAATAGAAATCAATTCGAAACCAATTCAATCTGCTCCTTTGAATTGCCCTGCCATTCAGACATTTTCATATTCACTCCTTTTTAAGATGGTATCCAGAGCATCAGGTCCTGGTACTTGATTGCCTACTTTTTCAACCCTTGTTTTTTTTTTTTTTTTTTTTTTTTTTCAAGCATCATGTCAGACACAGTACTTTAACCACAACCACAAAATAGTCAAACCCATAGCAAATCAGTATAGATTCATCAAACCCATACTATGTTCATCATTCAGATAGTCCTGGTCCTATGCTCGTACCGGAAAACGTTATCTGGAATCAACGCAATAGTATGATTTTAACGTGGCTCGCTCAATTTGTGGAGCCTGATTTATCCAAAGGAGTTGTTCATGCCAAAAGCGCTTAACAGGTATAGGAAGATTTTAAAGATCAGTTCTCACAAAAGAACACACCAACAATTTATCAAATCCAGAAATCTATCGTATCCCTCTCTCAAGGTGCCATGACAGTTTCGACTTATTTTACAAAACTTAAGGGCCTTTGGGATGAGTTGGAGACTTATCGACCTCTCCTTATTTGCGACTAGACAAAGGCACATAATGAACAAATAGAAGAAGATCGAATGATGCAATTTATCATGGGTCTCAATGATGTCTATAGTGGAGTTCGAAGTAATATTCTCATGATGGCACCTTTGCCTAAAGTTCGTCAAGCCTACTCACTTGTTATTCAGGACGAAACACAGAGACAAATGTCTTCGAGATCGAATGAAAATTTTTCCATTGTTACAGCCGTTCAAAGTCAATCAAACCAATCCTTCAACAATTCCAAAAATTTCCATTGTGAATACTGTGATAAAGACGGACATACAATTGATAATTGTAGGACTCGAAAATTTCATTGCAAGTTTTGTGATAAAAGAGGCCACACCGAGGACAGATGCTGATTTAAAAATGGCACGAATGGAGGAAATCATAAAGCACAGCAGCGTCTCCAAGGCAGCAGCATCCCACGTGCTGCCCATGTCTCTTCTCCTGCTGCCAGTGCAGGGACGGGTCCCATCACTGCTGCAAACGCAACACCTGTCACTCAGACTCAAACACAGCCTTCACCGAACCCGCCGAACACGTTGCAAGGTCTTTTTGCTGACCAACTTCAACAGTTGGCTTAAGTTGTGTCCATGATGAATTTAAACAATACCTCTGGTAATAACAGTGCTTATGCGAATGCAGCAGGTCTGTCTCATTTTATTGTTGCATCCATTAATTCTGTATATACTAAACCTTGGATTTTGGATAGCGGGGCTACCAATCATATCATTTCAGATTCTTCATATTTTTCCCAAAGCACATCTTCACCAATATCCACTGTTAAATTACCCACCGGCTCTTCAGCCAAAATCACTTCTATAGGCATTGTACCATTCAATTTAGATATTACCTTAGACAATGTTTTATGTCTTCCTTCTTTTCACTTAAATCTTATGTCTGCCAGTTAAGTCACTGATTCTCTAAATTGTTGCGCCATTTTGTTTCCCACTTTCTGTGTCTTGCAGGACTTGGCTATGGGGAAGATGATTGGATCGGGTAAGCAACGTGATGGTCTTTATTACATGTCCCCGTTACAACGAATGCCTCTCTCCTGTCAAGTTTCCCATTCCTCCAATTTGTGGCATATGCAACTTGGACATCCTTCACTCGGCTTAAATTAGTATTTCCTTCATTATCTTCAAATAATTTTTCTTTTGATAGTAATTGTACTGTTTGTCCCATGGCTAAACAAACCAAACTTCCATTTCCTTTAAGTTCTATATCAACTCATGCTTCCTTTGATTTGTTACATTGTGATATATGGGGCCCTCATAAAGTTCCTACACATTCAGGAGCTCGATTCTTTCTTACCATAGTTGATGATTTTACTAGGTGCACGTGGGTTTTTTTAATGCAACATAAATCTGAAACTCAACACCTTTTAAAATCTTTTGTTACTTTTGCTCATACACAATTTCATGCAAATATAAAAGCAGTAAGGGTTGACAATGGGTCTGAGTTTTTGTCTATGAAAGATTTTTTTCAAACTAGTGGCATTGAATACCAACGCACCTGTGTTTACACTCCATAACAAAATGGCGTTGTCGAACATAAGCATCGTCACATTCTCACCGTTGCACGTAGCTTACACTTCCAATCTCATGTACCCCTTTCATTTTGGGGTGAGTGTGTATCCACCGTTGTCTATCTTATTAATCGATTACCATCTCCTTTGTTATCTAACAAATCTCCTTTTGAATTATTATATAAACGTCTGCCATCTTTTGACCACTTGAAAGTTTTTGGTTGTTTGTGTTTTGCTACTGTTGTTCACCTTGCTCATAAATTCAATCCTCGTGCTCAACGATGTGTCTTTGTTGGACACCCCACTGGTCAAAAAGGTTATAAACTATACGATTTGGACACTAAAAAATTCTTTGTCAATCGTGACGTTAAATTTACAGAAAATGCCTTCCATTTTTAATCTCTACCTTCATCCCCTATAACCCCCACCCTTCCCCTACACGACAGCGAGCCCCTCATATCTCCCCACCCCACCTACCTGAAGGAAAATTTGTGAAAAACATGTTCATTTAAGCAACATCAATAGCATGCAATTAACAATTAAAGGCGGAATCATGCTTGTATGCACTTAAAACAAAACATTTACCCATGAAATTCAAAGCCTAGTAGATAGGTGAACCAAGACTCAACTCAAAACAAAGTGAGTTGAGAAATCAATACCTTTGTAGATTCCTCTTTGCATAAGCAAAGGCTAATCACCCAAAGAGAGGGCCTTCATTCCTTGCATCTTAGATCCATGGATTTGGATGGATGAAAAGGTTTCTCCAAGTTCCCAAAATTGAGAACCTCTAATGATTCATCACCAAGGCATAATGAAGAAGAAATGAGTGACCTTGGAGGAGTTTGATTGCTAGATGATCCCTCCAAGGTGGCCTAAATTTTAGAGAGAAAGGAGAGCTTGTGTTCTCATCCTTTCCCCAAAAATTACCATATGTAAATTTTAGGCTATAAAGTCCTTTATATAGTCCCTTCAAATAAGTGACCTAATGGACCAAAAGCCCTATTCTTCTAACATGGCAAGCCTATAGGGTTTATTGGGCTTTCAAGCCCTTTGTTTATTCAAGTTGTCATACAACTTGAGTTAATGGGCTTGACATTCAAATCCCATTGGGCCTTGCGGCCCAAAACTAACCCGAGGTCTTTAACGAACTTATTCGTTTGATTAATTAACATATTAATTAATCCTAGCCTTAGATAAATAATTAAACCATTTAATTATTCTTACTCATCTCCGTTGTTTCTTCAAACTCTACCTTACTTGGTGAACGATCCATTAGGTTCCTTTTAGCGAGGCAGTGGGCGATTAAAACTCTTTCTAATCGATTGTGAATTGAAACTTACTTTCAATTCTCCCGTTAGTGATAATACACTTTTAGGGCTTCCACAAACCATGGTTGACGCCTAGCAGCATGTCATGGTTACCCAAGCTAATCAGAAGAGGTGGAGAACCTATTCAGTTTTAGGATTACAAATGCAATACGGTCTTTCTCTAATACAATACTCTTGACCACATTGTTTGGTTTGATAGTTTATTCATGTCTACTATCCAATGTGAGTCTTGTGCTTATATGATTACCTTGAATGTGATTTGGAACACATTCCTAAATCTCATTCATACTTTGGCCAAAGATTCAAAATCATATCATAGAGTATTCTCCCTCAAACAGTTTGAAGGTTAGAGATCCCTTGTTGCGCATTCACTTGCCTCCATGGCTAAGTGGCTTAACCCCAACGATGCCATGGACACCCTCATGATGGAGTGACTTTGACATAATCAAAGATTAAGGACCTAACCACAAGACAACTGTGATGCCTCAGGTCAAAAGACTAATTTGCATTATCCCAACCATGAGTTCTCATGTGACATGAATATGAGAACTCTTCGTTGATCGTGTTCAGTGAACTCATTCTCTATTGAGCACCTACGTACTTGTCTTGATGTCACACACACCAATGACTCGAGACTAGTCACTCTCCCTGAGAGAAGACATAACACGTACTGATCTTAACGGACTGTCAATGCCCAATTGACAATCCTATAATCAGGAACGTTTAGGATGTGTCAACGAAAAAATGGTCTCATGAATCTAACTTCTTTAGATCGCATTCTTCCAATCACATATTCCTTGGACTTATCGTTTAAGCATATAACATTTATATGAGACGACTCAAACAATAATCTTTGCCCTTTACATTTAAACTACATTAGTTTGAAATGTCCATAAAGTATCATCATATGATTGGTTTTAGGGCACATTTCCAACAATCTCCCACTTGCACTAGAGCCAATCAGCTTGTTCATCAGTGATGATACCTCTTCTGTAATTCATTTCATAAATGGCTGAGTAGTAGGCCTAAATAATGGATATCTATATGTTATCCATAGAAGCAACCTTGAGACTAACGACGTCACCATTATACATGATTCTCAATCATGTGGTTTA